AATTTGCTCGAAGCTTGGAAGGTTGATGTCGGCAAAACGAGCCACGTAATGTATACACTGCAGAACGAAAATGGGAGCATGATTAATCAAGGGGTAAGAAGAAAGAAAAGGAGCAACAAAATAGCTCTCAAACGGCTCCTAAACAGCCCAACTTCAACACAAACGGCTCCTAAACAACCCCACTTCAACACAAACGGCTCCTAAACAGCCCCACTTCAACACAAACGGCTCCTAAACAGCCCCACTTCAACACAAACGGCTCCTAAACAACCCCACTTCAGCACAAACGGCTCCTAAACAGCCCCGCTTCAGCCCAAACAGCTCCAAAACAGCCCCGGCTCAACTCAGACAACTCCAAAATAACCAACTCAGACAACCCCAAAATAACCAAACCCTAATTTTTTGCTATGAGGCAATAGATGTTCTCTATTGATGACACAACAAATTCTTTGGAGGTCCACCTCTTATATATGTTTCTTCTGTTGATGTTGGTTCTCAATTTTTTCAGCTCCTCAAATTAGGGAATGAAAATTCTCGATTAGTAAAAGCTTAAAGGTCAAGGTTTTGGAAGCAATTAGGCCATGTAATAAATAGTGTAATCTAACTTTAATTTTGTGTAATTTACACATATAATTTATAAGTTTTATTGAAAATTTTTTATTTGTGATACATACTAGTCGAGTTAAATAAAAATAAGAAATAGTCATATTCATTATTTTTTGAAACAAAAATATATAAACCACTGCCCCCGGGCAGCGGGCAAGGCCAGGCTCAGCGTTCTTCTCCCCGTAGGGGTGTTCACGGTCCGGATTGGTCCGGTTTTAGCCCAAACCATGATCAAACCGGACCTAACGGTCAATTTTTTTTCTTGTCCATAACCGGACCGGTTTTATTTTTTAATCGACCACAATCCGAACCGCATTGGACGGTCCGGTTTGGCGGTTAACCGGTTAAATCTAAAATTCTCGTTTTGGGCCTTCAATTTTATTTTTTTCATTTTGGGCTTAATTTTCATTTTTCAATTTTGAGCCCAAAAAAGAATATTTGGGCCTAAAAATTAGGAAAAACAACAATAATGAAATAAAAAATATACAATTCGTCCTATAAGCATAAAAATACACATT